GGATTGTTTCAGCTTGTTTCAGCTTATTCTCTCTCACAGAATGCTATTCAATCATCTAAAATCAGCTGAGCTACAGTGCTCCTATCTACTAGCCGAACACGCTGACAGACAATGGTAGGGGTTGTTATAAAACATGTTGCTAGTGGTTAAGATCTTTTTCTCTTCGCCTCTCATGATAAACATTGTAGATGAAAGTAATAAAACATATAGACACAAGATAGGGAGACTATTCTTTATTCTCTGAATATTGGTGATTACACCATAAAGTTTCAATGTATATATAGTCCTACAAAGGTCTAAGAGTTCGGTAAGAGCCCACATGCAAACGGACTAGGATTAGGATTTCTCCTTTTCCTTTCCTTCTATGATAGAGTCCGTATGTTTTACAACACTCCTCCTTAGCCGATTACCACGATATGCACATGTCTCATTAAAAGCTCCATCCAAAAATCCAGTGGAAAAAAATGGTTCTTGGAGAAAAGAGTACGTTGCATTCGTTAATTGCATTGCACATGTTGTCTCATTAAAAACTTTGTGTGAGAAACCTTCAAGTAAAAACTCACATAGGGAAAAAGAGTACAACATTTAACCTTTTTGGTCATATATTCTTCAGGATATTCTATTCTTCATGAATAGATATTTATCTTCATGATAAATGCATAAACTTCAACATTTTAGCAAATATGATCTACTTGATCTATGTAATTCTAGTGGTTTTAATTACCTTCAAGGTAGATTCAATCAAATTGCACCCCCTTGTAAAGCCATCCTTTGAACATCATTGTTCAAACCACACTTTTTATAAATGTGTGCTTAATAATGGTATGCAGTACCACAATACTATATCTTTGAAAATATTAGCTCGTAATTCTTCTATGAATTATAATACGAGCAAACAAGAGCAATATGCTTCATGCATAAATGACCACTTATTAATTGTGCAAAGCAAATAAAATTTATCCTTCGGGATAATAAATCCTTTTAGAGGATTTTGGGGTTAAATAGTTTATAATATTCAATATTTTCTAGATAGTACATCAAACTTATACCAGAGTTTGAATACTTATAATTCTTCCTTAGTGAATTTTCAAATTATATATTATACAAATCTTCAGGACTTTTATTGTATCACTAAAATGATAAATCCAGTCTTGCATTTGGCATTTAGGGGATAATTCAATTGCCAAATTCACCATTATTCTTATACCTTCTATGGTATTTAGAGAATATCATCACTTTAATGTTAGCTTTTCAATATGCACTTTCTAAGTGTTTATATGACACATTCATGGTGTTTATGATTCCTCATTTGCTTTTTCTCGGGTCTATATTCTCTTTAGGGATTAATGGTGTTTATTTAAGAATCGACTGGTAAATCCTTCATGGATTAATTCCTTCAAAAGTTCTCATTCTTAGCAAATAGTATTTCTCTTCTATGAGATAGTCTCTGTCGGGTTCATAACACCGGGGTCCCCAATAGACCCGCTTCCCTGCAAAACTCGGCCCAACAGGTGGCGCAGCGACAGCACGTGCCTGGGCCGACCCAGATACACAATGACAGGTCAAGACCACGATCCGGTTCCCGACCGGCACCTTCGGCCAGCAGATATGATCGGAGGTGCGACCGGAAGGCCTGGTCGTGGTGGGACCGCAGTCCGACTCTGACCCCCTTTCTCTGACCGAGAATACGGCAGGATCTCTGCTCGTTGCTCTTTCCCGACCGACACGGTCGGGGATGACTGGGAGCGATCGACCGGGGACGCCCGCTCGATATGGGTCCGAGGAGCAGGCGAAGCAGATAAGGTAAGACGCTCAAGTCAACGGTAATACCGAGTACCATACCCTGCCATGCCCTGCGCACCTGCAGGACGGTGCCATCGGGGCATGTCAGGCGAACATGGTAGAGTCTGCCAGACGCGTCAAAGCATAAACAATATTGTGGGCACCGCCGTTTGCCGTACCAGGCGAACATGGTAGAGCCTGCCAGACGCGTCTGAACATAAACAATATTATGGGCGCCGACGACCATCCCGTACCCGATGACATGGGCAACAAGACTAGGCAGCGCCCGTATGAACTCTCTCTTTCTCTCTGACTTATAAGGCTATCCCCTTCAACTATAAAAGAGGATGCGCTCTCTACTACCAGAAAGACAGAAGCTTCGAACCCCCCGAAGCCCCGAAGACTCAAAGACTAGAGGACTCAAGGACAACAGCACAATGGCTCTAGAGCTCGACAACTACACAGTCTACACACTCTCAACAGCTAATAAGCTCGGACACACAGAGCATACACTCTAATACTTAGCGCACGTTTGAGCATCCGTCACTCTCTTCCACTCGGCTCAGAGTCCGACAGGGCTTCTAACACCCCCATTCTCATTCCTTACTCGTTTGTAATCCCACAACAAACTTCGAGCACCTGGGCTTAGGAATAAAGTCACCGACCGATCTCAACTGGACGTAGGGCCTGTTGCATGAACTAGTACAAATCCTGTGTCATTGAGTGATAGGCCACATCCGATCACAACGCACGGCAAAACTATAAATATTTACTTGTTGGCCATATTTCACACCGACAGTCTCTACTACATGAAAGATTATTATGTGACATACATAATGAAATAGTGTCATTCACTACAAAATCGTTGAATGACTCTTTTCCTTTCAGGACATGCTTTTTTTGAGACTTCAATATCCATTCAGGAATATATTCTACCTTAGACTTCTTAATACTTAGTATGAGATTCAATTTTCATATGTTGTGATTTTCTATTCTTCAAGAATTATATGAATTTTTAGAATCCACTTATTAACTATATATTTCATATTTAATTATTTCATTTGCCAGAGATATAGCAGAACATTTATTTCTTCTTAGTAGAAGATTCAACCTCAATTGCTTTCTTCATCGACCCGATATAATCGCTACAGACGACTTTGCCATGGACTTTGTTTTCCGGATCCGAGTTCTCATAAGAGAAACATTTACAATTGTAGAGGTAGTGTTGTCGACAACTATTATTTTCTCCCAATATTCTTACAATGTGAGATTATTCTATCTCTTTGTTATTTTCCAAACAATAGATGATTTATTGTTCTGCATCCCAACACTAATGATGCACGCATTTAGTGTGTTGGATTTCATCTTCATGAGGTGCTTAATCTTCTTCATGAGGTGTTCCCTTCATGAGAATGGAGGAGTTTCATTTTATTTCTATTCAAACAAGTACACACTAAACTAGAACCCACAGGCGTCCCCGTGGATTTTAGCTTGATAGCATACAACATTTAATTTACTACTAGTAAACATAACTTCTGGTTTATAACTTTAAGTTACTCCTCTCATTTTTCTAAAATATCTGACATATGCTCCGCTTCATGCTTCACAAGAGCATTAATCAAACTATTGTTTGATTTAGTGTGTTATAATATTCTCGCTTCAAGTTTCAAGGAATATTTTTCTCTTAAGATTATTTTCCTTCTATAAAAATAATATTTGGCATTCAAAATAGGCTTTCTCTCCACCTAATGCTAATATTAGATCTTTAATAGCATACTTCAAAAGATATTCCCTATCATGGGTTTAAAATAGTTAAAATTTATGTATCTCCAACTATAAGTGAGTGCCCATTCATGTATGCTATGATGAAATTTTATGGGAAATATTCAGGCACATATTTAAACACGGGGGTTAATATTCATTAAATTCAGCAAGCTATAATATAATACATAAAGTGCACTTAAGAATGTTCAACATTCCTATAAACTCAGGGATGTTCTCTCCCTGATTTGCACATATCATAGTTTACAAAAATTATTTCATTGTCTAGCTTCTTTATTGTTTGGCCCAAAATTTTGATCCAAGTACTCATACATAAAAAAATAGACCATATATAAAATACGCAACATTCAAACTCACATGAAATTGCTTCTAGAATTTTCTAATTGCCATTAATGCAAAATTCCCCAAATGTCTTTTCTTCGTAAATCCCAAATCATTGTAAGTGTTTTATGTATCAACTCAATTTCCACTATAATCTATCTCATTCAATTGGGTCACTTCTCCATTTAACCAATTTCAATTTAAACAACTCTCCCTGATTTTAGGCTACTTGGTCTAGACGAATTTATTATTTTTACATGCAATCCATTGAAAACAAGATATTTCTTAGTTCAACAGGAACTACAGACATAGCGTGCTAGCTAGCCAATCTAATTATGGGGAAATGCAAGGTAGCTACTAGCTACAAATATAGCTTCTATGCTAATATTCATGCAGAAGTGGAGATAGTTGCAGCTCGATGAGAGCACAACATAGTGATACACATTCGAGTGTGTGGAATATTGGTATTCAATCCAATGTTATAGATAGCAACAAAATACAAAACCACAAGTTTGCTTGTAATTAGTGCAATGTAGAGAAAGTTAACTCGGCCGGAGGGACGCGACGAGAATTTCAAGTCCTTATACATGCACTTAAAGATAGATTTAGAAAGGCTACGCCTATTAAATATTTATTACCCACATTTTCTAGTGCCTTTACCCAAGTTCCTCCCCCCTTTCGTGCCAGTAATTTGCTTCATGCATCATCTATGAATAATCATTTTTAATGTTCTATAGAATCCAATCATACTTCTATAGTATTTATTGGTTATGACATGAAATTCACATATCAAGTTTACTATTCATGTACAACAACATATTCAGGGTAGAACATAGACTTCAAGCTTTTGGGCTATTAAAACTTAGTTTTAGGGCCAGCGGTTGGGACCTTTCCTTCTCCGTCTCTCATGATCAACATTGTAGATGAAAGTAGAAAAACACATAGACACACAAGATAGGGAGACTATTCTTTATTCTATGAATATTGGTGATTACAACATAAAGCTCCCACGTATATATCGTTCTGCCAAGGCCTAAGAGTTCGGTAAGAGCCCACATACAAACGGACTAGGATTATGATTCCTCATTTTTCTTTTCTTCTACGATAGAGTCCGTATGTTTTACAACAAGGCTATCATACCATACTTGGTTGATTCCCTCCAAGAATTTGGGGCTTCTGTACCTTATCGTAGTGTGATCCCTGTATCAGCAAGCAATGATCAAGTTGAGAAAGAACTCTACAAGCTAATGACAATGCAAACAAGGGTCTACATTGTGCACATGTCATCCTCAATTGCCTCTACTCTCTTCACGAAGGCCAAGGAGTTAGGAATGATGAGTGAAATGTATGCATGGATTTTAACAGATGGGATTGCGAATATCGTTAACTCACTCAACCCTCCAATTCTTGATTCAATGAATGGTGCACTGGGTGTCAAATTTTATGTGCCTAAATCAAAGAAACTTGATGACTTCACTGCAAGATGGGACAAGAGATTCAAACAGGACAACCCAAATGATCCGTCAGCTCAGTTAGGCACCTTTGGACTCTGGGGTTATGATACTATTTGGGCATTGGCACAAGCAACAGAAAAGGTTAACATGGACGATGCCATATTTAAGCAGCAGGACAAGAAGCCCTCAACATGTCTTGGAACTCTGGGTGTCTTTACTATTGGTCCGAAACTCATAGATGCAATCTTACATAATCAGTTCAGAGGCCTAAGTGGCGACTTTGACCTTAAAAACAGGCAGCTGCAACCTTCCACATTCCAGATAATTAATGTCGTTGGAAGAAGTTCACAACAGATAGGCTTTTGGACACCAAAGCATGGAATCATCAGGACACTGGATCAAAATGGATAAAAAACAACAAATGCAAACTCTATGCCTGAACTTAATCCAGTGATTTGGCCAGGAAAAGTATATGTTGTGCCTAAAGGATGGCAGATTCCTACTAATGGAAAGAAGCTCCGAGTAGGTGTAACAACAAGTGGATATCCTGAATTTATGAAGGTAGAAAGGGATCCTATCACCAATGCAATAACTGCTACCGGATATGCCATTGATGTATTTGAAGAGGTGCTGAAGGTACTACCATATGCAATACCTTATGAATATGTAGCATTTGATAATGAAGGGTCGAGCTATAATGATTTTGTCTACCAAGTTCATCTTGGGGTAAGAAATTGCTATTCCCATTTTGTTAGTAAGATCAAGGGTCATATATTGGTTGTTCTCTCTGGATTTTTTTTTCAATTTTTTTATAAAGAATTTAACAATCACAAGTGAATTGGTGCTAGAATCAGATATGCAGGTAGACAATTAATAGGGTGTGTGAAAAGTGGAAACTAAGGCATTAATTCAATGTTTTATTAGCACAGATCTAAAACCATATTTAGTCAGCATTAGTATTTGTACGAATCCACTAGTTAAGACATAACTCACTGGATATTTACTCAATGCATAACAGCAATATGATTCCTTTTCAATTTGTAAAAGAATGATACAATGTAAGTTGTAACTGTTGACATTATCTGTTTTTGTTGTCCAGAAACCCTAATAATTGTCAGTGCGCAGAGATCAAGGAGTTACATATTGATCATTCAGTAATTCAAGTAAAACTAACATCATTGTATTTATATAACACCAAAGGTCATGTTTGCAGGTATATGATGCGGCAATCGGAGATATAACCATCAGGTACAATAGAACTTCCCATGTTGACTTTACCCTACCTTACACCGAGTCTGGAGTAGCAATGATTGTGCCAGTGAAGGATGACACAAATAAGAACGCATGGGTTTTCTTAAAGCCATTAACTACTGATTTGTGGCTTGGAAGCATCGCATTCTTCATTTACACAGGGATTGTCATCTGGTTATTGGAGCGACGAATCAATAATGCTGAACTGACTGGTTCATTTTTTTTCGCTAGCTTGGGATAGCAATATATTTCTCCATTTTTGCAGATAGTGAGTGATGATATTTGATATCTGAATTTCTTCTTTCCGCTTGACATACTGCATTGTGTGGAAAAGAGACATAAGTCTGACTTTTACATTTACTAATGTTAGGATGAGCAGGAAGGGGAAAATAAGTAAAATATCTTCCTATATTATCGCATAATTCATTTTTCACAAATGTTTGAAAACACATTATTTAGAAAGTACAAGAAGGGTATTTTCATAATAAGAACCATTCATATTTAATTTGAAGTTTCTTATTTGGCAGTTTCCCATCATTTTGCAGGGGAGAGGGTGGACAGTATTTTATCTAGATTGGTTGTCATTGTATGGGTCCTTGTACTTCTCGTGATTACGTCAAGTTATACAGCCAATCTATCATCAATTCTCACTGTGCAACAGCTCCAACCTACAGTAACTGATGTTCATGAACTCATTAGAAAAGGTGAATATGTAGGGTATCATAATGGTTCTTATGTGGGGGGTCTATTAGAAGAACTTGGCTTTGACAGAAGAAAGATCAGGGCATACAAAACTTCAGAAGATTTTGCTGATGCACTATCTAAAGGGAGCAAAAATGGTGGTATTGCTGCTGTCATACATGAAGTTCCATACATCAAGATATTTCTTGCAAAGCATTGCAAAGGTTACACAATGGTTGGACCAATTTACAAATCCGAAGGCTTTGGCTTTGTAAGTTAACTACACCAGATATGTTTATCCGTATGCTATAGGAAAATGTATAGTTTCGAGCTTCTCGGGATCAAGAAAGAAATGTTAACTCCTGAAAAAAATACTTATTAAAACAGAAAGAACATTTGGAAATAAGGATATAAACTAATGCACTTTCTAAGAGCCTAAGACCCAAGATAATAACAAACAGGTCTACTCAAACAAGGCCAGCATGGAAAGATCTCTGCACGACCAGTTATCACAAAAGGCACTATACGAATACTGTAAGTCATACAATCACTTGTATGAAACTTTTTGTTATTATAAGAAAATTATGGTAACAGACACCATTGGAAAATATTGTGAGTTAATGCACTGATGACTGGCAGCTATTTGCTATTATCTTTCTTGCTATTGCAAACTGAATAGTGGCATGCAAACTCTAACTTTTTTTTTAGCAGGAACCGTGGGGTATCAACCCCCCGGCGGCATTTATATTAAAAAAGGAAGAACCCAAGAAAGGGTTCAAGGACTAACAAGAAGTTAGCCAAGAGTTACAAACAAAAACAAAAATTGTGCAAACGTAATGGAAATTGTGCAAAGGTATTTTGGGTGGGTTGGGGTTGGGGACCTTGGATTTGTAATGGTTCTCTCTCTTTAGTGAAATGGTATGCAACTCTCCTGCACATTGAGAAAAAATAATTAAATGAAAATTGTTCAAGAGAACTTCGATCAAAAGTAAATCTGATCCTAATAGGGATGAAAACAATTGGAAATAATATTGCAAAACAGAAAACAGAAACAGCCACAGTCAAGATTTTCCCCATATTTGTGCAATGAACAGTCAAGTGCCAGTTGCAAGTGAAATTGGTTTAAAGTGACAACTTTAATGTCTTTACAAAATCGGAATAATGCAGAAAATGGTATTTGGACAGTATCAGAATTCTCACACCTGCTTTCACCCCTAATCCTAATAGACTAGGACAAGGAGAAGCAACATCCATTCATATATTTTAAAAGGAAAGATAGAATATACCATTCACAGATTTCTGTTTATTATAAATCACTCAAATTTGAATCTGGAATTATTAATGATGAATCTAACCACAAAAATGAATTTGTAAAAGCTGGAAACAACAGTGCAATTCATTTACCTTAACCTTTTTTGGATGATTATTAAGGATCTTAGAATGCTAGCCTTTTTAATTTTTGGAAGAATTAATGCATTACTTAACCAATTTGTATATCACTGAAATTATTTTAATTGTTAACTAGGTATTCCCCAAGAGATCCCCTATGGTCAATGACTTCTCCAGGAGAATCCTCAGCATAACAGAAGGAGATGCCATCATTCAGATAGAAAAGAAATGGATCGGAGATCAACATATCTGTCAAAATGATGGTGCCATCGCCAGCCCCAGCAGTCTAAATTTCAGAAGCTTTTCTGGACTCTTTCTGGTCACAGGTGTTGCTTCAACTTCTGCCCTTTTTATAGCCCTGGTGATGTTCCTCTACAAGAATAAACACAAGATAAGGAACAGTATAAGTCGAGTCCAGACTCAGGGAAGATATGGATCAGCGCATGCAAACAGACAGAATGAAGAAAGAGAACTAGATTGCAACCAGGCCCAGAGCATGCAGGTGACAGTGCCAAATGATCTAGAAGATGATGCATGCCAACAAGAGATAGAAATATCCATAGAAATCACTAGTCCTGGTTCTGGATTCCCATCGAGTCCGGGCTTTGCATCTTGCGAAACACCAAGCAGCAGTGTTTGTGCAATGACAAGTCAGCCTAATCCAGAATTTTCACACCTCCATTCTCTAGAATTTACCATTTGACATGTACACGCATGAGCACATGTGCGTCCCCTCATTTCAGTCAGTACTCAGTACACCAGCTGATGAGCATTTCCAACAGTCAACTAAATGCATATGTAAGCTAGTGCGTCCCTGCATTTCAGTCAAATGAACCAACAACCCAACAGTAAGATTATTGCCTGCGGAAACTAGTCAGGTGTCAAATGTACATCAACCAGGAATAACTGTAATCCAAGCCCCGCAAGAGCAAATAAACTAGTAAAATGGTTATTCATTCACTTGTTTGTATAGGATTAACTACCCCACTATACCATCAGAGATGCAAGCATAAGAACAATACAACTAGGCATGTACCCTTACGGAAACAGGAATCTAGCATGAGTGCGTGCAAATGCGCCCGCGAGCTTGTGCTCCCCTAACTTCCCATGGGCGCCGACGAGCAGAGCAGGAGCAATCCTCATCGCCTCCAGCCACATCTGCCTTCCTGCCGTCGCATGCTGCAGAGGCCCCCTCCGCCCGATAGACAGTAAGACTGCACCGTGGCCTCACCGCCCCCAACTACCCGTCAGCTGGTTACATGGCACCACCGCACCACCCAAGGGCCAAGGCGACTTCCTGCTTCGGCGGCAGTGGCCGCCGGGCGCCGGCAGTTCCATTTTCCCGTGGCTAATGCGGACCGGGGACGGTTACCAGTTTTAAGCAAGGCCGTCCTTAGTAAAGAGATAGTGGACCGAAAAGCGGGGTGCGTTGTGAATTACGGACTAGGCTGGACGAAACCAGTTTCGTCGTGTTGGCCGACGTTGACGGATACGTTGATGTGTTCGGTTACGCGAGTTCCCGGAAAACAAATATACTTAGAAGGAAAATTAATCACCTTATTATTATTATATACTATTGATGGAGTATTATTTAAAAACTGACTTGCTAGCCCCTGGAGTCCGATCCGGAGCCCTATGGTCCGGATGGTGCCCGTACAGCGGATGGTGCCCGTACAGCGAGGGAGCGCTCCAGCAGCGGGCCCGCATCCCAGACGTCGTCTGTGCCACTTAGGACGCCGTCCACGCCGTCCCGAACGTCACCGCACCGCCTGCCGCTTCCCACGCACACCCATGTATAACACCCGATCTATTTTTAAATATCTAGATGCAACAGTTGCAACATATAAAATAAGATAGAGGAAACACTTGAAAATAAGCGTCTGAAACACTCGTAAAAACAACCGAAAACACTTGAAAACCATTACAAACATGTGTAATATCCAGATTAAACACTTACAACAAGTATGAAACACTTGAAACATATGCTTGCAACATGCATGTATATGCAACATCCAGATCTACTTTTACAACAACTAAATAAAAAACTTACAGATGAAATATTTGGAACATACACTTGAAACACACGTGTATAGCCATTGCAACAGTGCAACATCCCGATATATACTTTTACAATATCAATATACAACACTTGCAACGTACCTCTAAAATATTTAAAACACTTTAAACATACTCTTGCAATATGCGCTTTTCAACAAAAACCTGACAAGCGGGCAAACGGAGCACCGCACAGCGAGATCCGGCGCTAGGGCACGGTGGAGAAGGAGGATGGCAGTGGGCACACGGCTGTGCGGTCCCCGTTGAGCGACGATGCGGCCCCCCCGGTGAGCGGTGGTGCCCCGGCAAGCGATACCCGCATTGGAGACGGTAACGGCGATCGGGCAAGTGTGGCCTTGCACGGCGAGGAGCCCCCGCGTCAGAGAAGGTCGCAGCAGGTGGGTGCCGTGCCCGTGGCGAGGCGCCCCCGTACTAGAGAAGGCCACGACGAGCGACAATCACGCTGGAGAAGGTGAGCAGCTGGCGAGCGGTGGGGAGCACCGCGAAAATTGTGTGAGTTGGAAAATGTCTTTGTATTTTTTTTTTTTTGAGACCGTGAAGGGAGGTAGAGGAGAGTAGCGCACAGGCCCATGAAGCGCGGTGTCCGACATTTCCGTTTTTAAAATAAAAATAAGAAGAGTTTGCATGATTGAAAGCACTTTTAAAAACGCATTGTTTTATGGCACCGTTTTTATGCCACGTGGTCAGTCATATCGCGGGTGGCTTTGACTATTGATTTATTGAGTCTCATGGCAGTATGGCAGTTAGCAATCAGTGAGTCTACGCGTCCAACACCCCGATACCACGTAGCACAGGTCTCATGGGAAAAAAGAAAAAGAAATCCCAGGCGCACCCCTCCCTCTTGCTTAACTTCGGACTTCTAGTTCTGACCGAGTGATCTTGCCCAAGAAATCTCGGGAGGGATTTTTTTAACACTTTTTTTAAACTATTTTTAAAACTAGCACCGTGTTTTTTTCTTTCAAATTAACACTTTTGGACGTGTCTGTTTGCACGGCGTGGCGAAACAACTCTGCCGCGCCATGTATGGCGGCGCGGCGGGGGTGCGTACGTGGCAACGTCCCGCCCGCTGGTCACTGACATGGTAGGCCTTGCCGCGCCACCGATTAGGGCGCGGCTGTGACGCGCCACCCGTCAGGGCGCGACAGAGCCAAATAGAGGCCCGCGGCCCAGTCCCTTTCCTCCCTCTCTGTTTCACTCTGCGCCGCGCAGCAGCCGCCTCCGTGTCGCCCAGCCCCCGCCGCCGCACCTCCCAATCCGCACTGCCGCGCCATTGCCTCCCGGCTCCCCCACGGCCAGCCGCCGAATTTCCCTCCCTTGTTGTTCCCCTCCCTACCTTCCTCGAAGCACCTCCTCGCCCATGTCAAGGTAATGAAGCTCCTCCTCGGGCTCCACGGTGGATCGAAGGATTTAAATGAGTAATTAGGGTATGGAGGAAAATATGAGTCCGTTAGAACGTTGGATTGAAGGATTAGGATTAGGATTGCCAATGTTAAGGTTAATTGCTTAGTTAGAATTATGATTACCATGTATTTTGCTTGTTTGAGTTTGCATCTCAACTTTTATATGTAAATAAATATATGGACACACTATTGATATACCAAATTTTATTTTTTAGTGACCAAAGTATAGTTTTTATATAGTTTTCATGTTTGCATCTAAGATAGAGTTTGCACCAAAGTGTAGGTTATATTTTATTTGTTGTAATGCAAATGATTCTCATTGACATTAATTTGTGATGTTTTGATTTTTGTTTGTTAAATTACAACCGTTTTGTCAGATACAAGAAATGTATCGGGAGGAGTTTTGGCGAGAACGGGGTCGTCCTCGAGAATTATACCCCGATGCGTCTAGCAAAGATGCCCCCGTCCCTCCTGACCTCCCTGTCCCTAACTGTGACTGTGGTTTCCCGGCCGACGTGTTTCAATCGAGATATCCAGACACAGCGGCGCGTTGCTTCTACACATGCAGTCGTTTTAATATAAGTAATTATTTTCACTATCTTTTTTTCTTCATTTGTGTAAGTAGGCTGCTAATATTTTGTTGGAATCTTATTGTGTAGGAGCATGAGAGGTGCTTTTTGTTTCAGTGGATCGACGGTGCAGAAAAGTTTAACCCTAGGTACCTCCTTTTCGACGATTGGTGTAGAGGGAGACATCCACGTGAGCAATTCCAGCGGTGGGTTCCACCCCCCCTAACCCCCGCCGATGACGGCTAAGGAGAAGCACCTAGCCACAGTTAGACGACTCGAGGAACCTCCTCTGTGCGAATGTGGAGATCGAGCTGTGATAAACCCTGAGAATACGTTGGAGTTTATGTGTCCGAACAAACATGAAGTAAGTGGAAAGTGTATCTATTTAAATGTTTATTTCTATATGTGTGCGTGTACTAATGTATTCTCTTGTAGCATTATGGATTTGCGAAGTGTCATTTCAATGAGTGGCTCTACGGTCCTAAGAATCAATGGCTGGAGCCACCAAAGGCAAAGGAAAAGAAGAAAGAAAGGTTAATTTACAAAGCACCTCCACTCTAGTGCGAATGTGGTGTTAAATCCAAATACGGTCTAGTCCCTTCGGAGCTTGGAATAGGCTATTATTGCGGTCATATGGTTGACTATGATGAGGTTGATTATTTTTATGGTAAACATGAAATCGTATTTTGTTTCTTTTCCTAAGACATATATGATATAATTTTTCGTTTGAACAGAGCACTAGGAAATGTAGGTGGGAATGTTATGATGGTCAAGCTAAGTTCTTGGATGAACTGAAGGGGAGGCAAGTAATTGCACGGAAGAGGTTATATGACCTGACTATGTCAACCTATTCGTTAAACATCACAAAAACAAGATACGCGAGTTTGCTAGACAGGGCGGTATTCGTAACCCGATCGATGTTGGGCTTGACAAATAGGGATTGGAGAGACGGAGGGCGTTAGAGGAGGAGAAGGCAAGGAAGGAGGCAAGGGAGGAGGAAAGAGTACAGATGTAGGTCTTGAATGACCATGTTGTTGCATTGTGTGCCAGTGAGTCATTGGAAGCCTTGTAATTTTCATTGTCTGCTTTTAAATGTAATATAATCGCGTTGCTAACTTGTTGCATTTCATACATGAAGGGATTGGATGTAGCGAGGACCATGCCACAGAGGTGGCCCGTGCAAGATTTCAGGAAAAGAAGTTACATGAGCACAGAACACGAGCTGGTCGCACCGTTCAATCTCCGATTGTGTTGTCTGATGAGGGGGACAAGGATGAGGACGACACTGCCAGGTTGAGCGATCTCATCGCTCTTGCTGAGGCGGGCTTGCTGACAAAGGAGGCTGAGGATGACACTGACAGACTGAGCGAGCTCATAGCTCTAGCAGAGGCGGGCTTGCAGGCGGAGGAGGATGACGACGCATTCTTCATTTAGGCCGCAGAGGCCACAGATGAAGCGGAGGCCGCTTACTACAGGTGATAGATAGATCAAGGCAATGTAGGTGAGCTTAGCCACATGAGCCAGACGGAGGAGGACGCGTTCTTGACTCAGGCCGTAGAGGCCACAGGTGAAGCAGATGCAGCTTACTATAGGCGACAGGCAGATCAGGGCAATGCAGGTGAGTCTAGCCACAACAACAAGTTGTGGTAGAGGACTGG